CTTTCCAAGTAAGTCCATTGAAGTAGATGTACACTATACTCATGTGAGAGCATTGTAAATGCGCTTGCGTGTGTCGAGACAATGAAAGGTTTCCCTAAATAGGGATTGTCTGTAAAGATACTATTTACCTTTTATATAAGGAGGTCACAACTATTCTCACTCATCAGACGACAAATGGAATGGTTTGGGGTGAGTTACAAAGTCAAAAAAAAAAAATTGGAACTTTATGTCTACTCAATAACACTCTTACAACCACCCATTTTGAAATTTAAGAGACTGCGATCTTTTTGTACAAAATATAAATAGTCACTTTGTAGACAATCCCAGCAAAATATGCTTAAAGTATAAAAGCATGGCTCCTTCAATTATTGCCCTTGAATTTACAGACGTTTGAGGTTCAAATTTGCTCAGTCACTTCCCAATGACCGAAGGTGCATTATGGGTGGAACCTGAGTTTTAACATCACTAAGCACTAAATGAGTAAAAGTTCGTCCATGGAAAGGAGTCAAAAACACTTTGAATCCGTTGAGCATTAACTCGCTTAAAATAAGGATAAATCATTTTGTAGGGTCGTCCCTTTATAAAGTTAAAGCTTCAAATTTCGTAAGAATATGTCATTTTGTTATTAAACAAAAGTTGTAAATCAATCATCTCGACCTCAACAAATCATGTATTTAAAAATAAATAAATAAATAAATCTATCCATTTAACATGCGGACCATCCATTGCTAGTATTCATGGATATGTGAAATCTGCATCATCTTCGGAATCCACAAGTAGTGGAGAACATACATACGCAAAACATTACAAAGTTTCTGACGCTGAAACTACGTCTAGCACGATATGAAGTGCGGATCTTACTAATATTGTAAAGATGTGCTCCCACCAAAGCCTGCACCCTTAAAAAATAAAATAAAATAAAATGCAGAATCCATTTGTGGAAAGGAGTCAAACGCATTTGGAATCCAGAAAGGAGGATTGTGGCGGCCATTTTTTTCACAGGTGTTAGGTCCATTAGCTTTTTAAATTGAAGAATCGCAAGCAGCACGTTCAGAAGGGTGGGGTCTGTATAAGTTGTTTACCTCATACTAAGGCATATCTTAAAACAATGCTGAAAGATGTTTTGGTGCTGGAAGCCCTACGATGACATAAAAATCTATAGTCACCTCTGACTATGATACGGAAAAAGTTTATATAAGAGCGAGGCTATGAACAATCAAATTAGAACGTACCTCAAAAATTTCATTAGAATAGGTTGTTTTGATGCCCAAATGTCTTCAAATTAATCATCTCGACTTCAAGATGCATGAGCATGAAAAAAAATGGATTTCAAATTTTAGAAAAACTGCATCTTGTAATACATTTTTGGACCGTCAATTTTTCAAGATTTTGAAGTTTTCATATATTTGCTTGATCTATACTATTTTGAGAGTTTAAATTTTATAACTAGAAATGGAAATATATTTTAAGGCGATTACAAAGATTTCTGGTCACTTACCTTTTTCTTCTTTTTTTAGTAATGAAAACACATTTCCCAACACTATTTGAAGGTGTGTTTTACTTTGATCCTTTAGAGCCTCGACTTTATACAAACCTCACCCTTATGATATTCAAAGATCCAAAATGATGCACATGGAGCCATAAAGAAGTAAAATTTTTGAAAATGGATTATCTGAATGATGCGTTACAAGATGCACAGCTAGAAATCCTTTTTTCTCGCCATATGATACTCTCTCTCCATCTCTCTCTCTCTAGATCTCAATTTTTATCGCACCATATAATATTCTCTTTGTAGCATTCGGTTTCTCTCTGCTCTCTTCTATACTGTCCAGAACTTTATTTGTCTTATTGCGTGGAATACCTTAGCTATATTACTTCATATTCTCTCCAACATTTCATCCAAAGAGAGGGAGGAGAAATACAAGACGAGATAGTTGATAAAGGAGAGAGTAGTGGCCTTTGCCATACTGGAGAAAATTGAGGCCAAATAATGCATTTTATTTGTTTTATTGCATTGAACTTCTTGGTTATTTGTTCATATTCCCTCCATTTAATGGAGAGAGAGAGAGAGAGAGAGAGAGAGAGAGGAGCGAGAAAGGACGATATAGTTCATAAAGTGGAGAGTACAACTCTTTTTTTTTTTTCTTTTAAACATTACGAAAATTGTGAGTCCAGAAAGAGAGAGAGAGAGCGGGAGGGGCCCTCTAATGAAAAACTCCGGCAAGTCTAAGGGAAAGAAATAGGTTTTCACGTTTAGTTTACGTCGTTGATTGGGAAAAAAAGCAGGAAGAGATTGAGATTGAGATTGAGAGTGAGAGAGATGAGAGAGAGAGATGGAAGAGAGAGAACGTTAAGTACACGATTTTTTTCATTCATGGGATGGGAATTTCAAATTAAATGCATTCTATTTATTCTTGAGAAAATGTCCTACAAATGTCAAAAAAATTTAATTTCAGATCTAATTGTTTAAGAACTCAAAAAATTTATTTATTTTCATTGGAAATACTCATTTGACTTAGATCCCAAAATTTCAAATCAAGAAAACATGTCTTTTGCCCAAAGAAGTATGTGTATAATGTGCTCCCACAACTTAAAGAGCACACCCTGATCTGAGATCCAAATACACAACAATCCTCAAGGCCACAGAAAATCTATAGGAAAAAGTTTATTTAATGTGTCAACCTTATATTATAGCCGAGGCTCTAAAGGATCAAATTAGAGCCTACCTCAAAAAAATCAGATTATTTTGATGCCCAAATATCTTCAAATTGATCATCTCGATATCAAGATGCATGGACATGAAAAAAAAAATAGATTTCAATTTTTGAAAATAGTGCATTTTGTACCGCATTTTTGGACCCTCAATTTCCAAGATTTTCAAGTTTTCATAGATCTGTCGATAGACACTATTTTTGAAGCTTTAAACTTTATAAATATAAATAAAAATATATTTTAAAACCATCACAAAGATTTCAAATATTGCAACTACATTTCTCGATACTATTTGAAGGTAAGCTCTAATTTGATTGTTTAGAGCCTAAGCACTATACAAACCGCACCCTCTCATAAATCCATCGAAAAAGGTTGTTCTAATGCTGAAAGACCTTTCAATTGATCATTTCGACCTCGACATATCCAGATATGGAGAAAAAAAAATTTAAATCCTAAAACTAGTGCACCTTGCCATGCATTATCAAGACCTCCAGTTTTAACATTTTCGAGTGTTTGTAGATCAACACATTTTTTGAGTTTTAAATTTCATAATTAGATATGAAATAGATTTTCAGCCCAATTAAAATTTCCAACATCAAGATTACATCTTTGGACAAGGTCTAAAGGTACGCCTTACTTGGATTGTTAAATGTTAAAGGTCGACACTTTATGCAAACCGCACCCAAATCTATAGTGCAAAAGCCCCCATCATGGCCAAAATATGGGTCATAACCTATCTCCTCATCACCATTCAATCATGACCCTCATGAACATGGATTCACATTATTCATGAAGATTTCACATTATCAATGACGATTTTGTGATGCCAAGATGTCCAAATCACATGAATCTATCACACACATATGGCTCCTGATGACATGACACTAGTGTGTTTTGAGGAAAACAAAGCCCATCACTCATGAACCAGCTAACCTACCCAATGAACAAAAAGAAAAAAGAGTGGCTCTCTCAAGTTGGAAATCAACCACTACAAATTCCTTCTTATCCCATGGTGACAGGCTCTAATGTGACTTTCCTCAGAGGCACTTGTGAGGAAAGGAGAAATCACATCTTCAACAGCAAGAAACTCAAGAACCAGATTCAATCGCATGGCACTAAAAGCAAGTTCACTAGAGCCAATCACCCTTGTGGCATCCGAATGGAAGAAGCATCAGCCCAAGAATCAGATTCAATCATCTTATATCAAAATTGGGAACCCACATTCCTTTGAAAAGGATAAACTGAAACTGTACAGATGATTTTTCAAACTCAAGAGTAAGCAAAACGCCCAAATAATTGGGAAAAAACTCTGCTGATGATAATAATCATGATGATGAAAACACAAAAAAGTTATTCTGTATCAAATCAACTGTCCTCGAGAGAATGTTTGATTAAAGCACTTGATGCTAAAGTAACTCTTTATCCAAGTGACAATGACCCAGTCAAAACAGCATAGTTGTTAGTCTAGGCCATGATCCATGACTCTGGAATAGTCCCCCCTTTTCTTTTGGGTAGTTTAGCTAGGTTTGCATGGGGAACAAAATTTCAAATATTTGTTTTCCATAATCCATATTGGGTGTCACAGGTCCCTGGACATATTGAACACCATGCAGAGCTCATTTCCATATTTACTGATTACAGGATTAAAAAAAATGATTTCTATGATAATCAATGCACCAGTTACCTGAAGCAAACCAAATTTAGAAAATAGTGTTTCTGATGAAAATCAGATAATTGTGATCCAAAGTTCAATCTAAATTCAGCATTTCCAAAAGAAAAAGCCGCAAAGTGACGATTAAATATGGCAAGCAAAAACTACCCAATACCCAAGAATTTTGCACCAAACCTTCTTCAAAAACTGAGAGAGAGCACATTGTTGTGAAGCCATTAACATGCAAAATCCATGTAAAGCCTAGTCTCACTATCTTTCAAGCATCAAAATTGGTTAACTAATATGGGTTCATCAAAGGAAATGGATTATGAACATTAAAATTCAGAAGGTCTTTATATGTGCAGGCTTTGCATACAATATGCTCAACAAGAGACCAATCAACCTAATTTACAGCACTTGTAGGACAAACCATTCTTGTCTGGCATACTTCGGAAAAATTTCAAGTCATGATCAGTGATATTGAAAATAAAAGTGGAAAAGAACAAATTAATTGTCAACATGTATGACGAAAATATTAGTTCAAAAAGTTCAATTAAACAAAGAAAATCATGAGCAACAGATCTACAAGATGGCACCTCAAATTTCAGAAAAAGAAAGGCAACTCACAATGTCTAAATTTCATAGCTCAACTATCAGTGTGACATATATCTTCTCCAACCACAATAGTTTCAGGTGAACAAGAATTAGAATCATATTATAACTCACATAAAGACAGAATGCACCAATAGAAAAAAAGAAGGCAATCCCACTTTAAAGAGTGTGAAAAAAAAATCCAAATGAGGTACAATTGGAAGTGGGAATAAGAAGTCAAAAAAACCCAAAACACAAGATAGAACCCCAGCAGCTACCTCTTGCTACACCCATTCCTCTCAAGAAACTCCTTCACTGAAAAGGTAAAACCCCAACCTCCCATGCCCCCGGGAGGGCCCACCCAAAAATAAATAAAAACAAAAAAAAAGGAAAAAGAGCTCACAACACAAAAGACACCTCTTGAAATCTAAGTCAATCTCTACTCTTATGTCGACAAGTATTTCACAAAATTAGATAGAAAAGAAGAGAAGAAAATGAAAATGAAAACATTATAAAGCCTAACTATTTCTCCATCATGCATTTATCCATAACAGCAATTTTTCTTTGTCAAATTGCCAGGAGAATCAGCCACATTGATGGTAGTTCCTTGACCTGGACCAGACGCGACTGCTGCCTCTTGAGCTGCCAATGCTTTCTTGCTTATTATGTGATATATCTCAGTAAGAATAGTTTGAAAAGCCTTGTCAATATTCACCGCTTCTAATGCAGAGGTCTCGAGGAAAGAAAGCCCTTCTTTCTCCGCCAAAGCTTGAGCATCTTCCTCAGAGACAGCCCTCAAATGCTTCAAATCCGACTTATTTCCAGCCATCATTATAACTATATTGGAGTCTGCATGGTCTCTTAGTTCTCGAAGCCACCTTTGAACGTTATCGAAGGTGGCTCTCTTGGTTATGTCATAAACCAGCAGGGCCCCAACAGCTCCTCTATAATAGGCACTTGTTATGGCTCTGTACCTCTCTTGGCCAGCTGTGTCCCATATCTGTGCTTTAACTGTTTTTCCATCGACCTGTTTAGGAAAAAGTGCATCTCTTATTAAATAAATGTATACTTTTTTTTCAATAAAGTAAATAGCATTGATTGTTTGTTGCACATATGGCACTAATTAATTATCATGCAGCGTGGATGAATAAGAAGTGATGTCAGTCGTCAGCAAATAACAAAGTGCAAAAATGGGAAAGTAAAAACAGACATCCATGTTGGTAAACCTATACTTAAGTGCAGTTTTGACGATTTAAAAGGTAAAATTCACGTAGCATATAATCCAGTGTCATATTTGGTATCCTCCTGTCCAACAATATCTCCCTCATTTTCTTTCCAAGTTTTTTCTTCTTCCTCTTTATTAAGATCGAAGACAATAAGCTTCATAGTTCATGCTTCTAGGCTGGGAGATTAGAAAGTGCCATAAGGAATGCTCCTCTATAATGCTTGCTTTCTACCATTTTGTATCACTACAGAATTTATAGCAACAGACACTTCCATAAAAAATGATAACCTTAAAATTGGTCTTTTGTTTTCACAAAAAAGTAAAGTTAGCCTTTCATTCATGGCCATCCCTACTACTTTTAAAGGGGGTGGGGATGTAGGAATTTTATTGTAGATAGTTATGTAGTAACGTTTCAAAAGAACATGTCGTATCCTTGGAGTAACTCATGCAAAGAACCATGGACAATGATGTCCAAGTTTTAAAGTTTCTAGGTGAAGCTTTATAATCCCAAATATAAACTCTCTCTCTCTCTCTCTCTCTCTCAGCATCATCACTAGACTCAGTATCCAGCAGTCACAATCACGCCTACTAGTACGAACTACTTCCGACTAAGTAA